TCTATCTAACATCCACAATTTGGGGGAAAGAAACTTTTTGAGATTGAAAAGGTAGATTTGCCAATTGTCTAGCTTCCTCTGAAGAAACAATTTCTACCAATTCATTGCAATCTTGTACAGACAGCTCTCTCAACTCTGGAGGCTTGAAACCATGCTAGGGAAGAAGATTTTTCCCAATTTGATGCATCCTTTGATTAAGATTTTCCTCAGTTTGGGAAAAACTGGCTGGGAAAGGGCATACAAGTATCTAAGTTGACCTGCGTCCTTCCAATCCAAGCAAATTATTTCCTCCAATTCATTACATTCATAGGTACTTGTCAAGCCCTCTTGAACATCAATTGATTCAGAAGTTTCTAGTCTAAATAATGGCCAATTCCCAGTTGGTAAAAGTCTTTCCCTTCAAAGTTCTTGCCACTGCCACAATGGTAACTAGCAGTCCTTTGCATTTGTCAAAGACTCTCTTAGCCACCTCTCTCAATTCTTCTGGAGAATCATCATGTATTTGTGCACGCTGCTTGAACAAATCCCAACCTTCATCTTCATCTAAACAAGGAGAGTTCAAATCACTGTTTGGCAGTTTTGAGGTGCAAACTTCTTGGTTACGGGTGGTAAAGGAGGACGCAACTCTCTTCTCATTCTCATTCAATGGAATCCCAATTAGCTTCCAAGTCCAGTTTCTCCATACACCATCCAAGATGATGAGAATCTTCTCAGTTTTTAACCTGTGAGATAACCGTAGTGCCCTGCCAGTTCTGTCTCTTCCATCAAATGAAAAGCTCAAGTGATCAGCAATTTGACCTTGAATATCTCTCAATTTGACATCTTGAGACACAATTGTCATAACCACATTGTCAAAAAGCTTTGACTCCTCTAATTGCTTCCCCACCACTCTTGCTAAAGTGCTTTTACCTGAACCTTCCACACCAACCATTCCAATCACATTGCTCCTCTCATCTTGGATTCGCCTGCAGTAGCTCTTCATAAACTGGCTTCCTAGAATCCAATGCCACAAAGTCTTTGGGAAAGAAGTAATTCATGCTTGAGAGTTTAATGGGGTGTGAAAATGGCTCAAATTGTTATTGTTGTTCACCACATTCATTTGAGCGTCATGCATATTACCTCTTTTGCTAGAGAATACTTAAATGTCATGTTCAAACAGCATTCACTTTCCTCCACCCTTTCTTCCAGCCCCTGCACATCTTCCAGAACCCTTTCCACATCTTTCAGCCACTCTTCAACTGGTTGCACAATCTTCTCTGCATTTGTCGTGGCTTCTTTAACACGTTCTCTCATGTGCAGCAATGACTTCTCCAACTCTCTCTTTGATTTTTGAAGTTCAACAACAGACTTCTTGAAATAGAATAAACATCGAGCACGACCTATAATTGCATCCACCACACGCTCTATTAATGTTGACGCCACAGCTGTGCCTATTTCAGCCATTTTCCTGCAATAAAAGGCTCCCAGATTTATATTTTTCAGCATTACGTAAGCCTTCATAGGTTTTTATGATAAAAAGTCTCGAGTAAAAGTCATGAACATCCTCTCTCTCTTTATATTATTTTACTATTATAGCAATGAAATAATGGCAAAGTAATGTTTAAAATGAACTTACTGAAAAACTACAAACTATTCAATGTGTGGATTTTCTCATACAATATCTTTCTAGTGATTATAAATACTCTTGAACAGCTGTTCTTGACATGCTAAAATATGGTCTTGCTATGATGATAATGAAGAAAACAATGACAAAATTAGCAAATCTCTTCAGTTTCGGCCAAATAGCTATCCTTCTTTTCTTAAGCTTAGTTAAAGTCATGTTGCAAATTTTTTTTCTTGATAATCACTTCCAAAAGCAAAGAGCCTAAATGCTATTAATCGTTGGCTGATATTAATTGTACCAATTATTTACAATGGGATTTTTTAACTTTATTTTTGGTTGAGGTAAGTTAGACAACCCCATAAAGGAAAAGTACCAGTTGATTACCAAAAGACTCCCAGTTAATACAGGGTTTTATTATTCACGTAATGGTATGAACTATATTTATGCATACTGCAACTGATTTTTGTATTTGCATATTAAAACAACAGCTATGACATACTGAATATTGTGCCAGAAAGGGAATATTCGAAGCAATGATTTCAATCAACAGCATCAAACATTAGGAAAGTAGCAACTGCCTGAATGTTAAGAGGTCACCAAATTATAAATTTCAAGAAAAAAATATTTGAGCTCAAACAAATTTCTGATTTCAATATTTTAGGAAAAACATTTCAAGAATGAAAGCAACAGTGCCAACAGCCAAGTGATTTCGGAAAGATAATGCATGTTCCTTTGATTTTCCACTACTAAATATACATTATTTACCAAAAGACAGAATCCAAGAGAGTAAAACAGATTCCTAAATGCTGTTTTCGGTTCTATCTTTTGACATTAAATCCTATCAAAAAGAAGTCAACTGCGTATTGCAGATAGGAGGCAGTGCAACATGCAATGAATGAGGATGAAACAAACCTTGGATTAAGATTACAGATTGACCCAAATTCCCTGAACAACTGTTGCAAGTTTCTTCCTTTATCAGGCTTAGGTTTCAGAATGAACAAAAGGCTTTGAGGGAGGCTACTATTGAGAAAGGTTTACTCATCAATGGGCAAAAACTTGGTATCAGTTGACGAAGACTTGACCTTTAGGGGCACTCATGTCTGATGATTGTGGGCACTAAAGTGTCCTTAACTTCTCTAATAAAAAAAATTAACAATAACTTAGTATAATAAAGAGTTTAATGACTATTTAATATTTGTGTAAGACTACATTATCTTCCAATCATAAGTTACCCTTTTTTTGAGTCAACAAGCTTAACATCCATAATTGTTCAATATGAACTGCATAGTAAAATTGTTTTACATTGCTACTGTATTGTCTATTTTCTCATAAAATTGTTTATTTTCATTATTTTGTTCTGTAAGAGAATTAATAAAATTACAACTAGTAGGTTTGAAAAGTTCATTAACTTTTACTGTATCTTGTTACTCAGTGGTAATAACTTTTGATTGGTTTGTAGTGAATTTTTCTTACACTTTACCATATTAAATCGTTCGAATCTTAAAAGAGTTAATTATCTCTTAAAACTAAGTTGCAATTAGACACAGAAGGCATGAACTATCATCATCAACAACATGAAAGTCACGAGGTTTCAATTAACATGGATATGAAGCTCGGACACCTCTTCTATACGAGGTGTCATGTGCCTGATATTATTGGATACCAACACATGTATGACACAGTGCCACATGCTTAGGTGAAATGTCTAATTCAAAACAATCTTTTTTATCTCTCCTATCATTTTCTCACAACTTTAATATAATATTAATAACAATAAATACAATAGTTTTAAAAAAATCATAAATTTATTGTATAAGTTCGTATTATAATTATAAAGATAAATAGCGAATATATATATATATATATATATATATGTATATATATTTATTTATTGTATTAGAGTAGATCGGTGTATTAAAATAATGAGATGAGCAATTTTATTTTAAAATAATCTTATAATACAAATAGAACTTTTTTGTTCATTATCTAAATACAATTCATCTCTCCAGAACACTATTCCTCAAAGTTCTCTAACATCTCTCTAGAATTTCTTTCAATTGAGCTGTCTGATTGACGATCAGGAGGTGTCAAGACGTTCTATCTGGTAGAGGGCTACACAACTAACCTATCAGTTTCTTGATTCTATCTAGTAAGCTGTTTTCCCCTTTTCACCGCATGTTCTTGAGTCGGGATCATGCAAATTCTTCTGTTGCATGTGTCTTGTAGTTTTCTTCTAAAATTCCTAGTTCAATTCAAGCTCTAAGAGCTGTTCTCTATCACCAATTGGTGAGTTGTAGGTTTCTGTTGAGTTTCCTTGCGGTGCAAGGTACTGTTTGAATGATTCTGTGAGCTGGGCACTTTATCTCTAAGGTAAGAGGAGCTAGATACTTTCTTTAAATTAGTTGTATGACATGTGTGTATGCTGAATTTTGTGTTATTATGCTGTTTGGGTCACATTTTAGGTTTTGAGTAGATGTAATTGTATGTACTGGAATGTAAACTGTGAAATTGTGGAATGATGCTTGTGAACTAATTTTGGATGTGATGTACACTACAATTGAGTATGTTAGATGACTGTAATGTGTTATAATAGTCATTTTAGTAAGTTAAGTGAATTGGGTAGTGTTTTGGGTCATTTTAGAGGAAGTGAGGTAGTGAAATTGAGAACTAAAGGTCAAGGGCTCATTTGGTCTATTGAGGCAGTTTAAGTAAGTTATATGTGACTTGTTTGAGTCATCAAAATGGTCAAAAACAGGTTCAAAGTGGTAGATTGAGATTTGGGTCCCTATGTTGACAAATTTGATGTTTTAGAGTAGGAATTGGTTCATAAACACTTTCGATTGATGTTAGAAAGGTTTAGAATCACTTAGACAAGTCTAATTAAGTATATAACACAATCTAGGAGTGTTAGAAGTTGGGAAAATAGTTAGAATTGGTAATTGGTGGTTGAGTTGCATAATTATGCAGAATTTCATTCTGCAGACTCGTTGAGCAAATGGATTCGCACAGGGAGTCACCCTGGCGAAATGTTCTCTACCAGGGCATTTGCACAACGAACTGGTGCGCTATGCGAATGACTATAGAGAGTTGCTCACTGTTTGGGGCACTCACACAACGAGTTGGTGCACTGTGCGAGTGATTGGAGAGGATTGCTCTCTGTCTGGTGATTCGCATAGCGAATCTAGTTGTTGTGCGACTGGTGGTGGTCTAGGATAAATTGCTAGATTAATTCGAATAGTGAATGGGTGCACTTTGCGAGTGTTTGGGGAGTATGAGCCACTGTTTGGGGCTCTCGCATAGCGATTTGGGGCGCTATGCGAAGACTGGAGGTTTGGAACCTCTGCGAGTTTATTCGCACAGTGAGTTTAGTCGTTGCGCGAATGGTTGTGTAGTTTGAGTCTCTGTTTGAGGATTCAGACAACGAGTTTGGGTCGCTATGCGAGACACCTCATTTTCGCTCGGCGAGATCCTGCGTAGAGCGAATAGCCTAGGTTCTTTGGTCTATTCTTTCTTTCTTTGTTCTTGTGTGATTTAAATCTAGTATTGGACTGATTGTTTGAGTATGTATGAATGTGTAATGAAGTAATGAATTGACTATGTTATGTATCATGTATCAAGGTGAAAGTAAAGTTCCAAAGTAGAATCTCTTGGTGAGATTTCAAGTGTATTTTAGAATGAAAGCAGGAGGTCAGCCTTGAGGGTTATCCTGAAACTCCAATGGTCTTTCATTTTCACCTAGAGAAGATTGAACCATGTCGTGAGGAGTAGCAGGAGGTCTTAGTCTTGGAGGGTTCCAGTATGCTCCAAGGCATGGTACACACTAACCTTGTGAGTGTGGTAGGGTGAAATCCATTGGCAACGACTTTGCAAAGCAGTAGAATCCACCACGAGTGTCAACCCGCCATAGCTCGGCTATCATTCTAAGTCGGAACGGTCTAATTCAATGTAGTGTCATTCATACAGAGTTGGTGATATTTATATGAGTGGATATGATTGTGTGAACTGTAGTTAATAAATATATGATTGCTCTTTTGTTTAAACTAGCTTACCATGTTGCTTGTTATCTGTGTTTTGTATGTGTTGGTGTTTCTTTCTTTGCAATGATCATCTTGTGGGTGTGAGTAGAGGGAGATGAGGTGTCCCTTGAGAAGACATTGGATGAAGATGACGCGGCAGCTTAAACCAATTGATTTTAGCATTGTATATAGTTTTGTAGTAGTCGGTTTGTATATAAAGTTTTAAATTCTATGATTATTTTGGGATACCTGTAAAAGATAATACTTTATATTATAGTGATTTAATTGATTCGGAGGTCCCTATTTGTGCAGTTTTGCGTCAATTAGGTCCCTGTATTTTGAAGTAGCTCAATTTGGTCCCTATTTATGAAAAATTGAAGCAATACAGTCTCTGCCATTAAATTCTGTGGACGGCGTCAAAATTGTTGCTTGGTGGCTAGCTGAAGTGGCATTTCATTTTAAAAGTACGTGGCACGTGTCATCCCCTTCCCCACCAAAAATTAGGGTTTTCCAGATTGGGGAAAAAGAACTTGCGCCTTTGTGAATCCGAGAGCTAAACATTGCTCCTTCTTAGCTTAATCCTAACGGTTGGGCATCCGTACAAGCCTTTGTGACGTTGTGCTCTACTAAGGGAATTACCCCTACCTTTCCAGTATTTCTTCATTAATTTAACGTTCGTCCAAGATCGCTACCTGTTCAAACTGTACTCAGAGTCATTCAAAACTTCAAGTCGAGATACTTTAAAATAATAATAAGGGAATCAGGTCGGTCCGAGTTCCACGATGAAGCGGGCATCCCTCTCTTCCCCTTTTATTGGACGAGGA